AAACTCAAAATCTGACCAATGACAGTACTCGCGGGCTGACGGGGGTGGACCATGAAGCGAGACATGGGTGACATAAAGTTGCATGAGTGTGTCATGCATATTGACATTGCATAGCATTGAGGGATTACGGGGTTGTAGCTTTTAAAATGTACACTTGCACATGCCACACCTTAAATTTGTTCCTAGCGTTAGCACTTTGTCATACCAGTAGTTGAGCTGACCCATTCGTGGAATATCATATTACAGATGAGACTCCCGGTACTTGAGATTTGAGGAAGTTTTAGAGGAAGGAGATGAAAGAGACTTGAATGTATATTTGGTCATTGGGCATATTTTGTATGTATGGGCATAAACCCAAATAACTTGTATTCTAGTTTGAAAAAGTAGTGGATTAAAGGTTTTGGACCATTTTAATGTGTAAGAGTGTAAACTCAATTGATATTTGAGATGTCTTTATTTAATGAGTATCATATGTGTATATTGAGACAATTAGATGTATATGTTGAGAATAAGAGATGTATGTTTAATTTACATGGGTTGTGGCCACCGAGTGAGGGTGAATTGTGATATAATTATGCATATGAAATATTGTGAATATTAGGTGGAAAAAAGGCTTGAAAACAAAAGAGGTTATGTCGAAATTTTATGAAAAATTAAAAGACTTGTTAAGTGTGTAAAACACCTTTTAAATATGTGGGAAGGATGTCAAAAGGGGAGGTTTAGAAACCTTGAAGAAATAGGCTAAAAATGGAAGAAAATTAGCTTGAAAAACTTTGGAAAAACATGAAAAATGAAGGAGAAACCAATTTATCCAACCTGATAACTTTTCATTTACTTTTCTTTTCCATTTTCACTCACTCCCCGGGTTTGTGGAAATTCAGGGCGTGACAGGCCTGACCAGCCCAAGAGACCCGGAGCAGAGAAGGAGGACCTAGCATCGACAAAAAACTTATAACCTAGCTGTCCAGGCCCAGTCCAAACTACCTATGGATCACCAGAGGGGACCACGCATCCTGGGGATCCAGGGGGACCACTCCTAACACCTACGGTAATTTCAGAGAAGGTGGAGCACCAGGCCTCCAAAGATCATGGCAACGATAACACCGGATGAACAGGGACGCCGGATGAACAGTGATCGTGGTGGCAGAAGAAGCAGGAGGGGGCAGAGGAAAGGACAGCTGGAGGCCTAAGAGGAGCTAGTATAAAGAGATAATGATAACCCAGGCAAGGAGAGAACANGGCCTCCAAAGATCATGGCAACGATAACACCGGATGAACAGGGACGCCGGATGAACAGTGATCGTGGTGGCAGAAGTAACAGGAGGGGACAGAGGAAAGGACAGCTGGAGGCCCTAAGAGGAGCTAGTATAAAGAGATAATGATAACCCAGGCAAGGAGAGAACTCCATCTCCCCTGAAAAAGATCAGGGAACATTTGAGAGAAAAAGAGCGTAGAAAGTTGAGAGAGAATACCTGGATAATCGTTCTTTGCAAGTGGACCCCAAGTCCCAAGTTACTAAAGACACTTTGCTGGCCGATGAATATACAATCTCAGCGAGCAAGAGACTTCGTTAAGAGTGGACGTAGCCTTAGTCTTTCGGCTAAGGTGAACCACTTATATTCCCTGTCTNTGGATAATCGTTCTTTGCAAGTGGACCCCAAGTCCCAAGTTACTAAAGACACTTTGCCGGCCGATGAATATACAATCCCAGCGAGCAAGAGACTCCGTTAAGAGTGGACGTAGCCTTAGTCTTTCGGCTAAGGTGAACCACTTATATTCCCTGTCTAACTGTTCATAAAAGATTAATCCACCATTTGCAAAACCATTTTCATAACACCATCCAACCATAGTTGGGCTTGGGCTACAAAATCCGAGAACCATCAAGTACGAAGCTCAGTGTAGCATGTTATGGTGCCCTACCCTTTAAGATCCAGATATTGCTTCTCCACAAGCATGCACTCGCAAATACAAAGGTATTTAAACACTCTTGATTGTTCCCAAATAGAATAAAATAAATCACAAAATATGAGAAAAAAAAAAAAAACAAAGAAACTCAGTATGTGGCATTCTAGAAATTCTTTGCAAAGCTCATTGTATAAACTCTTAGTTTTCTTTTCTATGTATTCGCTCTTGAAAACAAAACCTTGTGGCCTTATGTAATAACCGGAAAAAGAAAACAATAGGAATCCAACGGCTAGAAATGTAAGTCTATAAATGCAACGGCTAATTGCACTTTACAACATTATGGCAATGCAATGTTCAACCATCAACATTTATAAGTTTTACAATGCATTAATATTATAGTGCTGCCATTGCTTAAAGGCAATGAATGGAAAGCATTAATGCTCCATGTGCTACAGGATAAGAAACTTAAAGTGGTTGTTGGCTTTGATCGGTTGACATCAATAGGATACAAAATTTCTATCAAAAAAATAAAATTAGACCACTTGATTTAAAGGATTTTGTATTTTAAAATAATTATAACTTATTTATAACAATCCCCCACATATTTCAAAATACAAACTTAACTATGTACATGTATGAAAATAAACAAAATTAGTTTGGAAACACAAGAATCTAATACATTGTAGCAGGGCCTTTTGGACTATGAACCGACTCTTAGAGTAACCGGTTAGAGCTTACAAAAAAATTGGTGAAATATAAAATTTCTATGAATTAGATTTTTTTTGGTGTAAACTGACTAAGCTTATCACTCACGTTAGACACTCTGAATCTAAGTTCGTTCATCGTGGGGGTTAGTATAAATAGGTCATGTACTCTATCTGGATATTCATTGACAAGTTTCCATGGGAAACAACCCTACTTTTACATTTATATAGGTGAATCCATCAAGTATATATTGTAATTAAATACACAAACTAAATTAGGCTAGAGATCCATTAAGAGCTAAACTCGATCTTATACATTGCAGTTTTTACTATCTACACCGTAAGGATAGACTTCTAATATTAATTGAATGAGAAAATTTCGTCTATAGCCTCTCCAAATAGGTCTAACTTCAACGAATTTCCTTGTCTTTTTTGAAATTTTACTACATTTTCTTTTAATTTATATGTCCTCTTCACCTAGACCCCCCTACCGTAAACACCCGTTACTGTCCATCATAAAAGTGTTGATGTTATATCAAAATTTTTATTAAATGCCAATTTTACCCTTCTTATTCCCCATAAAACCCTTGTTTCACCCTCTCTCTCTGTCTCATGCCTCAACCAAACTTAGAGGAAATAAGAATATGTATTTATTAAAAAGATAATAATAAAACTTAACACTAATTATATTTAAGTGATAGATTTAATTTATTATAAATTTTATAAAGAAGACATAACACTAATTATTATAAAAAAATTTTAATATTTTATATTATAATTTGAGAATGTAAAGTTGGTTTAATTGTCGAGTAATACTATTTGGACCTAAAAATTTGACTTAATTTACTGACATGATTATGTGACTTTAGTAGAATAATTGGATAAACACCAAGTTCCAATGTTTGATGGCCCCATAATCAATTCAACTATCATAGTGAATTAATTCAACAAATTAGGTTCCAATAGCATTGCTCTTAATTGTCATTCACCTTCACCGCGTAGCATCTAATTTTTTTTTAATAATGTTATTTAAACTTAAAAATTTGACTTAATTTGTTAATATAATGATGTGAATTTATAAGAATCATTATATCAATACCAAATTTTAATGTTTGACGGGACCTAGAGTCAATCCAAATGTCACAGTGAATTAGGTTAATAAATTATGTCTGTCAATTAAGTCCTAATAACATTGCTATTTTTAATATTTTTGGCTAAACACTATTGCATAAAAAGAAGCGAGAATTACACCAGTTCCTCTGAAATTTGTCACTTAATCACTTAGACTTTTTCACATTTGAAATATTACATACAAATCCTCTGAAGTTTGTACATGCAAAACACTTAAACTCTGCTATAAATATATCCATTAATAAATTATACTTAGACTCTTCTAAAGTTTGTAGGCATATAATACTTAAATCCTTTAAGTTTAAAATATTATAGTTAAACAAAAAATACTCCAATAAAAGATAGAATATCAAATATTTTAAATTTTATAACAAAAAATCATATTCTATTGTATCATTTATTGAAATAAAATTAAAATTAAAAATTTAATTTTTTCTTAAAAAATCGTAATTAATATATAATTATACTATTTATTGGAATAAAACTAAAAATCAAACAATGGGTTTAAGTCTTTCATAATAGAACATGACTTTTATAACAAAAATTCATATTCTATTATGTCATTTATTGAAATAAAATTAAAAATAAAAATATATATTTTTAAAAAAAAAATCATAATTAATATACAATTACACTATCTATTTGAATAAAACTAAAAAAATTAAACAATGTGTCAAACTATAATAAACACAATATCTTTTAACTTTAATTGAGGTAGTTTGGTATTTTAATTTGATCGTTTAAATGACCAAATTAAATTTTAATAGACAATATAATTGTATACTAATTACGATTTTTTAAGAAAAAATTAAATTTTTATTTTTGATTTTATTTCAATAAATGATACAATAAGACATAAATTTTAATTATAAAATTTAAAATATTTGATATTCTATAAGTATTTTTGGTTTAAATATAATATTTTAAATTTAAGGGAATTTGAATAAAATTTATTAACAGATATATCTATAGAAAGGTCTATATATTACATGCTTATAAATTTTAGAAGGTTTATATATAATATTTTAAATATTAGGAGATTTGAGTGATTAAGTTGTAAATTTCGGAAAATCACAGCGTAATTCTGCTAAAAAGAAAGACCAAATTCGAATTGGTCCGTTAACCTGGTGATTGCGTGTGTCCATCTAATTGAAATATTCAAAATCCTAGCCCACGTGCGACCCCAAGGAAGAGATCGTCTGGTTCACTTCTATCTGTGTAGCGTTGATTTCACTTCTGCAGGGTTTAGGGGATTTGGAGATGCTGACGCCTGCAATCCCGACTCACCGGATCGCGGAGTCCACTCACCACCGACTCATAGAGTTCGTCAAATCTGCTCTAATCAAAATCTTCGTCTCCCCTTATGCCACTGTTCGTTCTCTCTCTGTCTCTCTCTCTATATATATATACACACACACACACACACAGACTCACTCACTCACAAACATATTTATATACGAATGTATGTGTCTTTGAGAAGGTGTGCGATTTATACTGTGGAAGAGTACCTGATGAAGAAAAATGGGATGAAGCTCAAATTGGTCACTACATAGGCGTTGGTATTTTTTTTTTTTGGAAATTTTAGGATAGGTTTTGAACTTCTGTTATTTATTGGGGAAATATAGTTTTCTCTTTGATTACTGCTGGTATTAATTGGGAATTTTGTAGATATTGCGACATCCGGAGTGAGTGAAGTTAAGGAGGCATGGGAGAGTCAGCGCAAGACTTATACTTCTGAGTTCTTTGAGCTTGATCCTTGCATTGTGAGCCCTCCCCTTCTCTGTGTATAGATAGATACACACTAATACATACAAATACACTCAAACAATGTATCTAGTAACGTTTTTATGTACGTTTGTACAAGTACATGAGGAATTATCCGTTGTAAATGATTGTGATTTAGTATACTTACTTAGCAGGCGGTTGAGAAATGCTGATTAGTCTCCAGGAATTAATTTTTAATAGCCATTTCACTTTTGGCGGTTCATGATATTCGAGTATATAGAGATTCACACCCCCGAAGCCTGTTTCTTCATAGACTTGTTGTTTTATTTTTGATGTTGGAAGCTGTGTGTGTATTATGCATGTACTTAGGTTTCGCCGTCATTTTGGTGGTTTGTTGGTTTCTTATTTTATCAGAAAATCATATCATGCCATGAGATGTCATATTTTATTTCACCCGCTGCCCATCTCCCCTATTTTTGCTGAGGATTTTAAATGCTTTGAGCTGGTTAAACCTTTTCTACTGGTCAATATGTGCCAATTTCTTGAAGTTACTTTTGCTCCTGTGCTTGACATCATCTTTAATTAACAGGAACATTTTGAATTGCAATTGCAAGACAATGACAATATGGCCGATATAGTCTGTTGCATGCAGCATTTGCAGGTTCTAAATCACTAATTTCCCCCTTTTGGGTAGTGTTTTTCTAGATGGGTTATGTTTTTTTTTGAAGAACAATAAACTAGACATTTATGTCTATTTGCAGTTGTGCTTTGAAAGTGAGGAGAAAGCAAAGAGACTATTGCATAATGTATCGTCTTTGCTGAAACCAGGGGGTTATTTTCTTGGTATTACTCCTGACTCATCTACTATATGGTATGACACTGTGATTGTCAAAGATATGGCTGAAGCTTTCTTCATAATATTTTGGTTGCTTCCTTATTTTGAGTTTGTTATTTCCTTGGCCTTTTCCTTTGTGATCTTGGTGTCACATTTTGCTTTTGAAAATCCAGCCTAATGGACTAATTCAAATTTGTTTGTGCAAATCCCCCGAGAAATTTAGTGACGAGAAACATTTCAAGGGCATAATTTCTGAATTTCAAAGTTTCATCTGAGGGGAGGAATTAGTTCATTTCTTTTCTAAAGAAACTTGAACAAAACTCTCTACTAGTTGTAAGTTTCCACCCTTCTCTACTGAAACTTAGTCATTGTCCTCATTCTCCCTAAATATCCAACTTCAAAGAAAAAAAGACTAGAATTGTTGGGAGTGAAATGGATGCACAAACTGAGTGCAGAGCTCTTTATATATAGCCAAATATATACAAATAAGAATGTAACTGACCAGAAGGGCAAAATAGATAAAAAAGCTAAACATCCTAATAACTAGGCTATCACTCTTAACATTCCCCCTCAAACTAGGCGTAAATATGTCAATCAAACCAAGCTTGACAATGGAGTCCTTGAGAAGGGATAGAGTGACAGGTTTAGTGAAGACATCCGTAACCTGATCACTAGTCTCCACAATCGATGGGGTAACAATGCCGCAGCTGACCTTTTCCAGAAGAAAGTGAACATCGATCTTTATATGTTTCGTCCTCTGTGTAGTATAGAGTCAGAAGTGAGGTGAATAGTAGATTGATTATCACAATATAATGTAAATGGATAAGTCACTAAGAATCTCAATTCGCCAAGAATAGACCATAGCCAGAAAATTTCACATGTGTCAAGCACCAGAGCTCGATCATCTGCCTTTGCTGATCAATGGGAGACAATTACTTATTTCTTGTTCTTCCAAGAGATAAGATGAGTCCTTCGAAAAGTACAGAAGCCCGTAATAGATCGACCTTCACAAGTTTCTCCATAATCTTAATCTGAATCTGAATTTGAATATGAATAACAGACTAGAGAAGACCATTGTAGCACGTGTATTGCCCAGGGTATAAAGGGCATGATGACTTGACGTCATCCTCAGTGATCCCGATGCATTTAACAACCCAAGTCCATGACAAGACTTGAGGTATCGAAGAATATAATATACCACATCTAGGTAAGACTGACATGACTTTTGCATGAACTGAATAATCCGACTGACAGTAAATGAAATGTCTGGCTTAGTGTTGAATAGGTAGATAAGCCTACCTACCAATCTTTGATAAACAGTTGAATCTCTCAACTCCTCACCTTCAGTGTTAAGTTTCAGGTTTAGAATCATAGATGATAATGTTGGTTTGCACCCCAGCATTTTAGTGTCCGAGAGAAGATCCAAAACGTACTTCCTCAGAGAGATAACAATACACCTGCTGTTACGGGTAACCTCAATTNTCTCTCAACTCCTCACCTTCAGTGTTAAGTTTCAGGTTTAGAATCATAGATGATAATGTTGGTTTGCACCCCAGCATTTTAGTGTCCGAGAGAAGATCCAAAACGTACTTCCTCAGAGAGATAACAATACACCTGCTGCTACGGGTAACCTCAATTCTTAGAAAGTATCGTAAAAATTCAAGGTCTTTCACATTGAAGGTTTTTCCAAGGTCAACCTTGACTTGTACAATCTCAGAAATATCATCCCAGTAATTATAATATCATCCATATATACTAAGAGAATAATACATTGCCTAGTAGTATAACGTCGAATGAAGCATGTATGATCAAAATCGTAAAAATCCAAGGTCTTTCATATTGAAGGTTTTTCCAAGGTCAATCTTGACTTGTACAATCCCAGAAATATCATCCCAGTAATTATAATATCATCCATATATACTAAGAGAATAATACATTGCCTAGTAGTATAACGTCGAATGAAGCATGTATGATCAAAATCGTAAAAATCCAAGGTCTTTCATATTGAAGGTTTTTCCAAGGTCAATCTTGACTTGTACAATCCCAGAAATATCATCCCAGTAATTATAATATCATCCATACATACTAAGAGAATAATACATTGCCTAGTAGTATAACGTCGAATGAAGCATGTATGATCAAAATCGTAAAAATCCAAGGTCTTTCATATTGAAGGTTTTTCCAAGGTCAATCTTGACTTGTACAATCCCAGAAATATCATCCCAGTAATTATAATATCATCCATATATACTAAGAGAATAATACATTGCCTAGTAGTATAACGTCGAATGAAGCATGTATGATCAGAATAACATTTGGTGAAGTTGAAACTTATAACTACACCACTAAACTGAGAGAATCAGACTCGTAGTGATTGTTTTAGTCCATAAAAAGACTTGCACAGTCGACACACCTTCCTAGCATACTCTTTTTACCACGAAAGCCAGGTGGTGCATCCATATAAATAGTCTTGTTCAGGTCACCGTGAAGAAACACATTCTTCAAATCCAATTGATGAAAGGGCCAAAAATACGAGACAACTAGAGAGATAATCAAACGAATCGTAGTCAACTTTCCCATAGGGCAAAGGTAGCTCCAAAATTGCCACGTGGAATCTAAGTAAAACCCTTCGTCACAAGCCTAGTCTTGTGGCGATCAAAAGTATCATCCGCAAGAAATTTTAAAGTGTAAATTCAGCGATAGCCAACATGCTTCACCTCTGAAAGTAAAGAAATAAGATCCCACGTATGGTTATGTTGAAGAACGTCCATCTCTGTTTGCATAGCAAGAACCTATTGAGGCTTCAGTATAGCCTCTGAAATGGAGCGAGAACTGGCGTATCTGATAATGTCATGCTATAAGCCTGAAATATTGGAGACAGCTCTGCATAAGAAACATAACACCAGTGATTGGATATAAAGCCCTGGCGGCCTAACTATAATTAACAATTGGCCGACGGTCACGACGCGAATAACGACGTCTTGGATCATCATCATCCACAGACAGTCTCATCAGATAAATCAACTAGCTCAAAAACTTCAACACCTTTAGTTTCAATAGTGCTAATAACTTGCTCAACTAATTGAGAAATATTACCTGCATCACCCGAAGTAGAGGGGATATCAACATGGGATGAGAGGGAGCGTGAATAATATAAATCTGCAAAGGAGGAGAGACTGGGATAGTATGTGTACAAGGAGGAGAGATTGAGATTTATACCTTTTTTTTAATTTATAATCCTTCTTTTACAACCTGCTGCGGACTAATTGACATATTTAGCATGTCAAGAATTATGTACATAATATATTAGTGTTTGTTTTGAATAATAAAAACCGTGCTTATCTAATTTTGGACCTAAATAGCAAAATAAATTTTTTTTAAGAGAGAGGTGTTTGCAAAATAAAAATTCATGCTTCCTGTTTCCGTTGCTGTTACGTAACACTCTTTACACCCCGTTTTTGTTATATTTTTGTTATACCGTTACCGTTATTTAAAACCATGGCCAAACCCCCAGAACAGATGCCTTTATGTGATACACATTTACTTTCATTTTGTGGTGTAAAATTTGGTTGTAACTCGTAGGTTTGTAAAGTGTCGTAGAACTGTACTGCAAATGTGAATGTAATACCATCATACCATCCGATTATAGATGCTTTGATCATGGCTTTGGGTACATCTACAGATATGGAAGGAAATGGGTTGTGATTACTAGAGAGCTAGAAAAATTTTCAGCGGAGGTATAGTATGGGAATAGTCTTGGCATTTCATTATCAATCAAATCTCAAACCCAACCTCAGTATATGTAAATGTCAATACATGATAAATAAAGTGCATATACCAATCAACAAAACTCATTATGATGAAACCAAAGGCCAAATACAAAAGAAGAAATTGAAAATCATTAGAAATATAGGAGGCAAATCTGTGAAAAACAATTCAATCGACAAATATCACCATATTGCTGTATAGCAGCTTGAACTGACTGACATGTTTTGTAGTCAAACAACCACAACTTTGGAGGAAAGATTTTATGGAGAACATTTGCATGAGACCAAATAGGGCAAAAGAAGGTGGAAAATGAAAAGATTAAGTAGTAGTACCAAAGGATGAAACCAATGAGATGGGAGAGGTTGCTTTATGTTGTTTTAAGTCTGCCAACCTTGCAAACACTAAGCATTTACATGAAATTGAAGCTCTCTTGCTTAGTGTACTTATCCCATTTAACTTTTAGGAGTCGTGCCATTGAATCTTCCATGTGTCTAGCACGTGCAGCTTACGTGACAAGAATATAAATATCTGAAAATAAACCATCACAACTATATGAACCGAGTGTTGTGTCTAAAATGAAATTTATATGGCCTTGCCCCTCTTTCATCTTTTTGGTCAGTAAGTCCCCTTTATCTTTTTCTTGGCGCTCTATGGCTCATCAGCTGTTGCTTTGCCTATGAAGAAAAACAATTTGGAAACTGGGAATTTTAGCATTTGGACGGTTTAGTCGTGTACATTGGATAACAACCCTACACCCTACAATAAAGAAGTAGAGGAAGGAATAGGCTTTTTCGTTTTCAGATCAATTATTACTCTCTCCTTCCCTCCCTCGGTTTCTTCTTGTGCTTTAAATCTATGCCTCAATATCCCTTTTAATTTTCACCAAGCTTTTCAAGAGAGTAACATTGCCATAGGTGGTTTGGAATTTAGAGAGAACTAACTTTTCTAGATAGACAGTGGTCACATTTAGAATGTTAGATGTTTATGGACTGTTTAAAATGTTTTTAAGAATATCCAAATCCTTTTGGTATTTCGGTCAAGGAAAAGGGCCTACAATGAATCATTGAGGTTTTGGAAGTATATGGAAAATGGCAAAGCATCTAGATGTTCACTTCATTTTTTATTTTGATGAATCTTGCGTGGTTTTGTGCAAAGGTACATCTTCCTCACTTTTTTTTGTTCCCAATACGAATGGTTTCTTTCATAAGGAAAAACAACTATTTTGTGCTGGGTGATTGTGCATGGCTTTTAGGTCCATTAGCAATCTTCATGTTTAAAATCATTTGTTGCCTTTGTATGCTGTTGTCACTAAGCACAAGTATCTGGCAGTTGTATATAATACTCTGGCTTTGCAGGGCAAAATACCAGAAGAATGTCGAAGCATACCACAATAGAGGCAGTGGCATGAAG